GTGGGTGTTGCGATATAGTGAATGTGTAATATGTCCTGTGCATTCGATTGAGAATACATTAAAAAAAAAATGGCAAAGTTTTATCTGAAAGTTTAAACGTGCCCGATAGACTGGACGCGGTCCCCTCCGTCCACTCACGCTCTCTGGTCTCTGTACGGTCATCGCTGACTGGTCCAGCATCCAACGCGCTGGGTTTATAGAAATTTGGTTAAAAGAAATGAACATATTTTAATGAACGAATCCATTAAGTAATAAAATGAAAATGATTCACAGGTTATTATTACACGTGGGAGCACTGGCGCTGGAACTTTCTCAATGTTGGAGGGGCTCGAGGCAGTTTGAACTCATTTCTTTCCATGCAACGCCATAGGGTTAATTACGAGCGAGCGAGCGCAGCGAGTGAGCGAGTTCTTTCGTGTTTAAGGCAAAAATCTGAGTATGCGCGACCCGGCCCGACACGACCCGACCCGACACGACCCCATCACGCTCTTCAAACCCTTATAACTCAAGAACCGCATGCCGCATCGACAAGCGGTCTTCTTTGCTGAATACCACTTGGATGTAAAAGTTGTATGGCATGGACACCATGTTGTCTGAGTGTCGATCTTGGCACGTGGTGCGTGCTAAACTTGGGGTACTTTGCACACACCCGAAAACTATTATCCTCAATAACCGCACAACGGCTGGACCGATTGGGCTGAGACTTGGGACACAGCTGAGCACCCAACAACCAATTCATGTCAGTGTGTCAGTATAGGAGTGTTCCAGCACGTGCGACTTTTATTTTATTTGACTTTTTCCATTTGATTTTTATCATTTTGACTTTTTTGCCGTTTTTTCACTTTGTCTTTTGACTTTTCGCGTTTTTTGACTTTTTGTCATTTGACTTTTTGCTTTTGACTTTTTGCGTTTTTGACTTTTCGCCATTTTGACTTTTTGCCATTTGACTTTTTTGCTTTTGACTTTTGTCGTTTTTGACTTTTCGCCATTTTGACTTTTTGCCATTTGACTTTTTGCTTTTGACTTTTTGTGTTTTTGACTTTTTGCCATTTTGACTTTTCGCCATTTGACTTTTTGCTTTTGACTTTTTGCGTTTTTGACTTTTCGCCATTTTGACTTTTTGCCATTTGACTTTTTGCATTTTTGACTTTTGGACGTTTTGACTTTTTGCCATTTGACTTTTTGTCTTTTGACTTTTATCCGTTTTGACTTTTATCCATTTGACTTTTTTCCATTTGACTTTTATCCATTTTGACTTTTTGCATTTGACTTTTTGTCTTTTGACATTTTGTCTTTTGACTTTTTGTCCTGGAATCCCAGAGGAGATGTCACAGGGAATTGAAACTTGCAGGATCTAGTATCCATTATGAGTCTCACAACTTGTATATCTCAGATTTTTCCTAAAGGTCATATGAGGTCAGATCATTTTCGTGACTTCACCATTATAAGTCAATGGGGAAAAATGAAAACTGCTATTCTGGCGCCGGGAACGATCTCCAGCTATCTCAAGCACACAGAATCGTGATTTGATGCACTCCTTGCACTGAACTCTATAATGTGGAGTGGGCATCGGCCGCCAGATGGTGTCCAACGGTGCCGCCATGTTGCGCAGACCAGGAAGCGGCCGCCGCCTGTGTTGGGGAATAGGGAATTCGGGACCTCGATTTACGTTTGCGGTCGCTGCATCCGTTACGTTCAAGCTATGTGGACACGGAACCCGGCATCTTACGCAGAATTGAGTGGAGAACAAGATGAAATCCTAAAAAAATCCTTAAATACAAGGAACTAATACGTTAAACCCTTTTAAATCAATGGGGAAATATGAAAATTGCTATTTTTGGCGCCGAGAATGATCTGAAACTATCTCAAGCATATAGAATCATGATTTCATGCACTCTTTGCAAGGTTCTATGCTTCATATTTGCAGTGTAGCCCTTGCGTGACGTCATTTGTGACGTCACAAGGGTCACAATTTTTCTTCAATAACTCCCGATGAAATTGAGCTAGCGAGTCGGGAAAGCCACCAATGGACTCAGGAAGACCTGCCGAATCGAATGATATGCGACATGACCTCTTTCGACCAACTTCGTGACCTGGGGGTGCTGACCTGACCTTGACCTGAGGTCAACACCCTTAGTTGACCTGAACCGAACAAAAAGTATATCACTCGATGCGCCTGAGCTAGCTGAACACGATGATGCCAAAATCGCGGTTCTACGGCCATTTTTGGCGAAGTTATTCACCAAAAACCGAACCCGTGCCTTAGATCACTTGACCTGACCTCAGAGGTCACCAGTTGACCTGATACCTTTACAGTGGGTTCCTACCAGTCACTCTTTATTATACTTTGCCGCATACGACCACTTTACGCTTAATTCTAGTTAAATTAGCGGCTCATTAGCGAGGTGGGTTCAATCAACCCCCTCGGCCGGGGCAAATGTAGGTCCGGCGAGTGAATTTGAGGAATTCTGAAGATACGATCGTGTTCCCCACTCAATTCTTCGTAAGATGCCGGGTTCCGTATCTACATAACTTGAACGTAAGGGATACGGCGGCCGCAAACGTAAATTGAGGTCCCGAATTCCCTATTCCTCAACACAGGCGGCAGCCGTTTCCTGGTCTGCGCAATATGGCCGCCACCGTTAGACACTACGGCCAATAGGATTGAAGCGGCAGTGCTCCCCTGTGACTCCTTGTAAGGTTAGATGCGTCACTTTTGCAGTGTTAACCTTGCGTGACGTCATTTATGACGTCATCAAGGTCATATTAGTTTTTCGTCAATAACTCTTGATCAAATTGAGCTAGCGAGTCGGGAAAGCCACCAATGGACTCAGGAAGATCTGCCGAATCGAATGATATGCGACATGACCTCTTTCGACCAACTTCGTGACCTGGGGGTGCTGACCTGACCTTGACCTGAGGTCAACACCCTAAGTTGACCTGACCCGAACAAAAAGTATATCATTCGACGCGCCTGAGCGAGGCGAACACGATGCTGCCAAAATCGCGGCTCTGCGGCCGTTTTTTGCGAAGTTATTCACCAAAAACTGAACCGTACCTTGGGGCACTTATCCTGACCTCAGAGGTCACCGGTTGACCTAGGACCTTAAAATCGGGAACCAATCTCTGCGTCTCGTAACGGCGCACACGCTCGTTTTTTCCGCGACGCGCTAGCTCCACCAGGGGCGAAACGGCGAGGGGGGTCGTACCCGCCCCTTCCCCCTCGGCCTGTAGAATTTACCTATTTGGGGGTATGTAGAAGACCAATAGGTCCGGCGAGGGTTAAAATGGGGCAGCTGTAATCTCCGTTTAGATGGGCGCCAGTGACTTTTGAGGGGCGCCAGCGACCTCGGATGAGGACGACTGTGATCTTCAGAAGCGCGCCGGACGCTCTGGAGGAGCGTCATTGGGCTTGAATCGTAGACTTTAGTCTCAAGCGGGACGACTTCAGTCTCAAGGGGGCTTGAGGCTTGCTAGTGGCTCTTGAAGGCGCTATTGATCTCGGATATGGCGACTGTGATCTTAAGAAAAATTCGGGTGCTTTAGATGGGCGCCAGTGGTTACAAGGGTCGCCATCGATCTTGGATGGGGCCGATTGCGGCAGCTGTGAACTTCAGAGGGGCGCCGGATGCTGTAGAGGGGCGCCATCAACATTTAATGGGGCGACTGTTCCGTTCAGGTGGGTGCCAGCGGCTCTTCAGGGGCGCGATGATCCTGGGGGTTCGGAATATTCGGGCTTCCGGAGGGGCGCCTTTCAACACGGGGGGGGGGGGGGCAGGTCCTATTTGGGGGTGCCCTGGAGAACATTGGGGTGTCCAGGCATCCCCCCACCCCCAAAGAGTTATTGAGTTCGATCCCTGCCCGCACGTCATTTTTTAATTCATGTTCCCTCTGTAACACGGCATCAGCCTAGTCCGCTACAATTGGGGCGCCATCTGTGCGGCTGGGCGGAAAGGGGGGCCATGGCCCCTATGCCCCCCCCCCCTGTCTACGCCACTGGATACATGAGACCGAATATAAAGGACCGATTATTGGTCAGGACTCAGGAACAAATTGAAAGTGTACTTGGATGTTTTAGAATAACAGCGGGTGCTGTCTAGTTCATTTGCAGTTGAGTTTCATGCTCAGCGACATCAGAAACGGTCCATATCGGAAAACGACAAAACTTTATGACGTCACTGTGTCGTCATCTTACGTGATACCACCACCAAACTTTCCTCAAACATTGCCTAGGTATTCATTTGAAGCTATGCAATTAAATTTCACGTTCGTAGCTCATCAGGTTCCGGAGATAGTCCACAAAACGTAAGGGGGGGGGGCAACTTTATGCCCCCCCCCCCCAGCGGCTCGTGGGCTAAGATGAGAATAGAAATAGCGAGAAGTTGAGTTGTGACAGACGGACAAACGAAACCCAAAGTAAAAGAATGACATAAATAAAACTTAATTTACACTGGCTTTCACTTATGTGATGATTTTTTTCTGCATTATTTTGCCCCATTATGCGTGTTTACCTTGTTCGATTTTCATTAGTCGTGCCAGAGTTCCTGCCAATACTTGCACACTGTACACTGTTCCGCTCCCTCGTCAGGCGTCAGCCGTGAATTCAGAACCGCTAGTATCCGAGTGGGCTGCCGTCTGTTTACATCGGCCGCACCAGCAGCTGTTTTTATCCGCCGGCGGTCCGTTCTGCCACTGTCAGCGGTCAGTGGACGCCGGCCGATTACAGACTCGGGGCGTGTGTGCTGACGCATCGGCTCTGCGGCTGCCGCTGCAGTGCAACGGCCTGTGTCCGTCGAGTTACCATCGTGCCGTGACTGCCCATCTGTCGGTCTGTGCGCGGGCAGGCAGAGGCGGCTCCGAGTGGTCCCGGTCCTAGCCCAATGACTGTGGTCGGCGAGTTCGGATCCGTGACATGTCTTTTGACTGGGCCGTGATTCAGTGACTGTGACGTCAGCGACCGGTGCTAACCGTCGGCGGTGTGCGGTCCCTCTCCGTGACAGAGTCGGCCGGGTCGGCTGCGGCGACTGGTGCGCTGCTGGTACCGGCTGCTCGGCTGCGAGCTGCTGCTGTCGTTCAGCGCTGTGCTCGAGCGTGAGGACCACCGCGGCCGGCTGCGGCTGCAGCGGAACGGCGACGGCACCAGTTCGCTGTACGAGCGCTGCTCGGAACGGCTGGTGGTCACCTACCGCGACTGCAGCCCGGTGAGTCGCCTGGGACCGACTGATGGGCACCTACCGCGACTGCAGCCTGGTGAGTCGCCTATATCCAGTCTGTGCCCACTTACCGCGACTGCAGACCGGTGAGTCGTCTAGGACCGGGCCGGCTGACGGTCACTTACCGCAACTGCTACTCGGTAAGTCGCCTAGGCCCGGGTGGTAGTCCCTTGCCGCGGCTGCAGCCCGCTGAGTCGCCTACGACCGGCTGACGCGGGCACCTACCGCGACTACAGCCCGGTGAGTCGCCTACGACCGATTGGTGGTCACCCTCTGCGAGTACAGCCTGGTGGGTCGCCTCCGAAAAGTACGAGATATCGGCCTTTTCCGTCAGAAAAGTTACTGTGTAGTCGTCAAGGAGCACTTAGATGTTAAAAAAAAATCACCTTCACTTGACATCTTTAAAGCAGTTTACCTCCATCTCTATCGGCTTGCCCTATCGTACGCTTCTTATCTTTCTTCCCTTTTTTTCTGACGTTGTTCGTCCCGTTCTATGTTGAGCCCTCTCATATCTCCCTATTTCAGCAGTACGATGGCAGCCCGGCTGCAGAGGAGTCGCCCCCGCCCCCGCCCGAGCCCTCGCCGCCCAAGTCAGCCGCCGCCGCCAGCGTTCAGGAGTCGCCGCCGGACTGCGAGGGTTGCGGAGCCCAGTTCGTCACACTGGCCGCCGCGATGGTATGTGACTCGATGACCGTCCGCGCGGGCAGCCTTCAGGTGCGGAGCTGACTCGGCCGAATGTTGGCCTTAGTTTGAATTTGAATTTCCGTATTATAGCCATAGCGTTATAGATGGAATCAAGACAGGTAGGTTTGTTCCCTAACAGTGAATGTCTGTGTCTCTGTTTTCCTGAGGGGCGGCGGGTAATTTCCTGGTGCAAGCTAGAAGTGGTGACAGATGCTGTTAGGCGTTAGCTTTCTTACTGTCATTTGCCGTTTTTTTCCAATTTGGCATAAGGGTGACGTCCATTCTGAGTGACGACGTCTTACTCTTATCGACGGCTATGTGATTGGCAGGCGCTCTGTTATTTTGTGTGTTCAAATCATTTTTATCTGATAGTTAAAGCATTTGCGGACTGATACTCGCTCGTGAGAACGTGTTCCACTAAATTGTCCGCCCTTGATTACACTCGCTGATTGGCTATCCGCCCATGGTGACGTGTTCTGATTGGCAGGCTCACGAGCGGCTCTGTGACGGCGTTGGCTCCGACTGCGAGTCGATTCTCTCGGAGCCGACGGCGCGCACAGTGTCACAGGCGCGGTTCCTGAGCTACTTGGGCGTGGTGCCGGCGGCCGGCAGTCAGAACCAGGTGGGTATTTGGTGACTGGGTGCTTACTGAGTCAGCGGCCCCGGCCCGAACGCCTGCCGTCCTCGTGGAGGGCGGGCGGACATGTCTTATTAGTAATATGACAGGCGGGCCTTGGTGTCTGAATGATACCAGCATGAATCTTTTACGTGACGTTATTAAGTTCTGGATGTTACAACGATCTTTTATTATGGTTATTATTCTGTGACTATTTTTGGTTTCTCTATTTTCATTTAACGACCCTCCTGACTGTAATGTCACTGACGGCCCCGCTCCGGCCGCCAGCCGTACCAGTCTCGGTCGGTGGAGCGGCGGCGCGCGCGGCGCCGGCAGCGCTGCTGGCCCACGGCCGAGCTGCTGCTGCGACTCAGCCGCACCGAGTTCAGCTCGCCGCTGGGCCGGCGCATGCTGACGCAGGCGGTGCGGCTGCCGACGGGCGCCGAGGAGGCCAGCAGCTGGTCGGCCGCCCGACAGGACCGGCACTGCTGCACCCGCGCCCAGCTCAGGTCAGACTCGGGTGGGGCGACACGGGTGTTAGGGAGTCGGCCCGAGCTCGGAACTCACCTACCCCACGTTTCATTGGAGGCCAGGTGGCTGTTTTTCTGTTATATTCTCATCAGCTTACTTAAGTCTGGTCCCGTCTTGTACTGTATAAATTCGGATCTCGGACCGATCACCAAGCACAAAAGCTAATCAGCTGCGATGTGCCGCCTAGTACGGTGGTGTCGCGTCCCGCTCACAGCGCCACCGTGATCGCCCGCAGGGTGCCGACGGATGAGTTTCCGGTGACGTGGAGCGCGCCGGCGTCCCAGTCCCGACTCCAGCCGCGCGTCTACTGTTTCACGGCCAGACAGCGGGCCGAGCGGGCGGCCGCCATCGAAGCAGGTACAGCACGGTGTCCTCCACTCGTAGCTGGTCGTACCCATGGTCGAGGGACGATAGAACGGCCCTGCAATATACAGTGCACCCTTTCCTGTACTTTGCAGACCACCTAGATGGCGTTGACCTGAACATTTTTTCATCAGCTATTTGTTCTCTGACATTTCATTGTAACATTTTTTTCCTTTTCGGAATTGGCATTGGTGTACAATAGTATTTTGCTAATGCTGTAAACGTATTTATGTCGTGCTGCATTGTTTAGAGGCCGTTCATCACAGCTGCAGTGACTGACGGTATGTCTCCGGTCCGCTCCTCCTGCAGGTCTGTCGGCGCGAGCCAAGGCTCGCTATTACGGAGTCCGGCCGTGTTCGGTGGTGCTGACCCGGCTGAAGACGGTGAACGGAGCGGTGCGGACCGCGCAGCGCCGGCAGCACCACCCTCCAGATGCGGCCCGGGTGCTGCTGGTGCGTCTGTCAGAGGCCGAGCTGGCCACCCACCTGTCCGGCACCGCCAGCCCCCCTACCACGCCGCCCGACCGGCCGGCCGGCCCGGTCGGCTGGTCGGGCGGCGCGACCCGCCTCCACGAGCGCCAGGGACTGCTGCGCGACGAGTGCAAGACGCTCCGTGACGCGCACTTTTTCCACCTGCTCGACTGTGCCGAGCGTGTGACGCGCGGCGACCGGTGGGTGTCGCGGCTGAACGGACGGCCGCCGGGGGCCGGCGGCGCGTGCCGGCCGCGCTCCCAGTCGGAGGGAGACGCCCTGGAGGGGGGTTCTGCGGCCACCCCGACCGGCCACCGACGGATGAGTCTGCTGGGGTCGGTGCAGGATCGCCTTCACGGAGCGGCCCGAGCACGCGCCAGGGCCGCCTCGCTCTCCGTCCGGCCGCAGCAGGAGCCAAAGGATCCCGCTGAGGTGTTGAACGGTGTGAGGTCGGAGGAGCGCGCCGACTGGAGTGACTCCTCCCGCGATACGCCACCGCGGCCCGAGTGTAGTCCCACGGAGCGGGACCGGGTGCGCCGGCTGCCGCACGCCGTCGGAGATCTGATGAAGGACGAGTGCAAGACGCTGCGGGACCGCCAGTTCGTGCGGCTGCTCAACAGCCCGCGGCGCACCACGCGCAGCGCGGCGACGGAGCGGCCGGCCGTCGAGCGGCGCCGCTGGCCGGTCAGCGTGTGGCTGCACTGGCCCGGCTTCGCGCGCGAGCCGGACCACCAGACGCCGGTGAAGCACGCGCGCGCCGCCGGCGAGCCGCGCCGCCACCGCGTGCCCGTGGTGCGCCTGGAGCGGCTGTTCCACCGGCTGGAGCGGCCGGCCGCCGGCGCGGACGGAGATGGCACGGCCGGCAGCCGGCGCCGACTCGCCCTGGACACGCCCGACGCCGGGCTGGCGGCCCGCTTCGTGTCCCGCTGCAAACAGAAACTGCTGGACGCGTCACCGGTGGTCGCGAAACATTCCGAATCTCCGCCGTCATCGCCTTCTCCAAAGATGGCGCGTTTGTCGGCTGGGCTCATAACCAAGGCATCGCGCACTGTCAAGCCTGCAGACCCTTGCTGGTGTGTGGGCCGTCCGAAGCGTTCGCCGAGCCGTCCAGTCAAGACGTTCTCAGAGTCCATGCTCACTTACGGACTGAAACTAGACGATCTGCTTTTGAATGGCGTCTGTAACAACAACATCCAAAGCAGTCCCAAGGGTCCGTCACCCGAGAAGCGAACACCGCTCCGTCCGAGGAAGGCTCGGTCGGCGCTGTGTCTAGGCTGCCGGCGGTGGCCTTCGCGCGCCTCCCTGGAGCCGAGTCCCAGCCAGCCGGTGCGCACCCGGACCCGGTTCCGCCGCCGTACCCGGTCGAGTGGTGGGCTGCCCGTGTCCGTCTCTCGTTTCTGAGCGGCCGGGCTGGCGGACGGCCGGCCGTGCTGGGACGGTGAGTGATGAGATCGTCTATGATCTTAACACCCACGTCTGTGATCTGAATCGGCCGCCTCCGCGCCCCGGCGGTGGGTGGCCCAGGCGTCCGGTGGGCTCTTTTCCTAGCTTGCTGTCGCCTCCGTCCGCCCAGCAGTAGATCAACAGATCACAATGCAGAGGACGGTCTATATGAATTAATTGTTAGCAATCATAGAACAGAATGTCTGAGTTTGGGGAGTATTAGGGAATGTGTATTATTGCTTGTCTAGAAGTGAGAATTAATGAGCACCATGACAGAAAGTCAGAAGAAGCAAGGTGTCATTTTTGCGGAAGCCTGGTGTATCGTTTGTGTAGGAAGTGTATCTAGGTTAGGTGCGAAGTACAGATATGTAGACACGCTGTGCAACAGGTGACAAAAGCGGAACGCATTGTTCTGGCCTTGAAACGAACTACTTATGAGTCTTCCAGTATGCTCACTCAAAGACGAGAACAACTTTGACGTATCATGTCATTCTACTTATTTGTTCGTTGGCTTTTGTCGGCTCTCGTTCGCATAAGAACCAGCACGGATTCCGTCGGAGGGCATGGCCCACGCTAATTGTACCTTGACATAATGATATTGGTAATCGTGTTGAACTGCTTGATCTGAAGCATGCTTGGTTATTTAATGTGTGCCAATGAGTGCGCTCTCTAACAAGTGCTTTGTTGTTGATGCTGTTGGTATAGTTAGTTAGGTTTGTTGCATCTTATTGCGAATGAACGCTTAATATCAGCTGGTGCAAATTTTATTTTATGCTGCGAATCGCGTATTGTTTTCTGCGGCGCAAAGGCAAAAACGATTACCGGGTGACCTCTGGCGTGACGTAATGACCTCTGACCTGACGTAATCGTTTTTGCCTTTGCATGGCAGCCTTGTATTCAGTGGACGGACTTGCTAATGAAATCGCAGCGCTTGTTATTTATATTGTCAAACAGTGTAATAATATGTTGCATTTGTAAATTTAATGTAAAAGTGTTGATGCGTATATGCATCGATTTCGATAGTAGGAGGAACGCATGTTGAACAGATAAAACATTGTTGCTAAGTAACCTTGTTTCCCTTCTCACCGCTACAGTGAATAAAAAATAACTTGTCAACAAACATGTTTCCATCTCAATATTTTTATATTCAATTATACTGGGCTGCTCTCGACATGTGAAACGTGGGCTTGGCTATTCGTTTAGAGTTAACGTAGCATTGACAATGTTTCACCCAGCTTTATGTCTCCCGGACGCAGATGTTGAATATGGCCCCACTTGCTATTAACATTGGACTTCTGCTGCGTCCGGGAAGGCGATCTTGCCCGTCTCTAAAACAGATTGGCTGGATCCTTGAACAGCATCTGCAGCAATCGTGTTCGTACTTTTCCGTGTAAACTGGTTTTGCGGGTGTTTGATGGGTGTCATCAAGGGGTTGACTCAATATGGCAGACCCCGGGGCAGACCTTCTCGCTGCTTGGTCCAGGGACTCGTCTCTGCCTTGTCGCCAACTTAAGCTCGTGTATGCTAACTATCTATTCGGACGTTCACGTCACTTAATTGTGGAGGCTCTTATCCTTTGGATCTGCCATGAGTCTATGTGCTAGCGCCAGGTCTCTCCCCTTTCGCCAAGCCTCGTATGCTCCTACTGCCTATACTGTCTGCGTGCACAAAAGCTCACGCTTTGGCGTCCGCAGGCTCCGGGCTGTGACGGCGCCGACGGTTGGCGGCTGCAGGTGCGGAGGCACGCGTCTCGCGACCGGTGCGCAGCCGCCGCTGATTGTCCATCCGGACGATTTAGCGTGCGAAATGTCGGCGCGGAGAAAACGGGCACAGCTCGCTGACGGCGGCGGCGGCGGACCGTCGGCGGCCGGCCGGCCGCAGTCGGCGACCACCGTCCGTGGCCACCACACCTCTCCGGGCTGAGCTGGGCGCGCTCTACTCGACACGACTCAGCCGACGGACGGAGCCGGCCGGAGTTATACCGACCTCGCTGAGGTCGCCTGTGTGTTGCCGGAGTGGCTGAGTGGGGAGGGCCGAGCCATACCAGTCAGACTAATCAGTGGTACACCAGTGTAGTGCAGCTCGTCTCGGCCGTGTGATCTGTGCGAGCGGCGCGTCTGTCGGTATGGAGCGCCGCACCAGTCGGGAGCGCTGACCAGCCCCGGCGCGATGAGACGTGCCGGGCCGCTGGCCGGCCTGGTGCTGGTGCTGGGGCTGGTGCTGACTGTGGTCGGCGCCACGCCGCGCTGTCACCACCTGCGGGTCAACCCGGAGGCGCCCGTCCAGCTCGGTGAGTACCCGGCGGCGCCGGTCCCTATGCCACATCACAATTAGCACTGTCAGGTCATGTCTTGATAACACACTGCGATTGCTAGTGGCGGCCCTGCATGAAAACCTAAACATCACTTTGTTGCTGATTGCTCGTGCGATACGCACACATGTGCCATGTTTATTCTAAAGAAACGTATTCTTTTAGCGCCTCCCCTGTAGCGTTTGCTATTTCGCACCGCCCCTCACTTTTATCTCGTGCTTAACAATACGGCGAATGTATGATACTGATTGGGTCGCCGTCATCGTCGCTACCCATCCTAGTTCCTGGCCGTTCCCACTCCTCTAATCGAGCGGAGTAGTGCGGCCATTGATTACTGATGTTACCGACGCTTATCACCGTTTTCCTGCACTGGTAGCTCAATGATTGTGTGCTGATTACCCTACTATTGAATTCCCTAAGAGATAAAGCGACAACCGTCACACGCCATCATGTCTGCTTTCTGAACGCCGATCACAAGGGTTACCGTTCGATACTCAGTCACATGAAAAGACGGTCTTGATTGAGCTTAGGATGAACGCTCTTGTTGCGATTAAAATGTGACCCATCAGCAATAAGTTTCGTGCAGTGATTTGGCAAGCGATGCAGATTGCATGGAACATCGTCACGCAGGCCATGTCACTGATCCTCGAAAGGCAGCAGTGTCGAATCGGAGCTTTGACCGATAACAGGCGGGTCCGGTCGGTGCCGTAACTGCCATAACGTCCCCTCGTCCCGCGACTGTTATTTGACCCGTGACTCGGGGGTGTAGCGACGGTTCCGTCCATACTTTCCTTTGAAGCAACCCAAACCGGCATCATAACCTATACTATGATGTAACCCAAATCAAAAGTACATAAATCCGATCTTCCGAATAAGTACCTGCTTGAGAATCAAATTAAAATCTCAAAATCAACACGATAGAGAACCAAACTGAAACGCGAAAGGTCATATTGTGTTTCAACACATTTTAAGATGCATTGTTATTTCCACCTTTACAATCCTTCCGTTCAAACGGCTCATCTCCCTCGAACCATGCAAAGCTGGAATAGATGGTTATCCATTGCCAGACTTCAGTTGTCTTATCGGCAGGTAACGCCTTCCCGTCACGTTAACATCACTGCATTTTCTAGGCACTTGCATAACTTCTGGAATCGTATTTGCGTGAACTCCGGAAGGGAAAGGTATTGCGTACCGTTTGCCAATTGGAAACGTTTTTATATGTTTATCACAACTGGTTGATGGAACCACGATGGAACTGTTGGATCTTATAGTTTTACATTCAGTAGATTGGGCGTCGTCATAATCGTTATAGGGCAACCCCGATGGGCTATGTTAAAATCGCCGTTAGTGCCAAATCCAATGTCAATTAACGCCGCCAGGCACTCCCATAGACCGTTCACCACACTGCCAGAGCTCATGTAAAGAAAGCCACCGTCGGCGCCAGTGGACAGCGCAACAGTCGCGCTTCTCACGGTGCCCAGCACACTTTCACACCATGGACACCTCGGGCGTCCCCACTGCGCCAGGCAGCCGGGTGGGCATCGCGCAAATCACACTGATTACCTCACCGTCCCCATGAGCTTTTGAAGGCACATGACGACACCATTTACACTCGAATTATCATCAGCGTAAAGTGGTACCTGCTCGCATTTATTTCTCATTTGCTTTGCCGCCTGTGACAAATGGAGTTCCTCAAGAGCTCCCCATTTCATGTTATTGTGCCAGTGAATCATTTATTGTCCCAGTGCTAACAGGCGGTGGTGTCCAGAAATCGTATCGGTTTACCGCCGTATGCGTCATTATAGTCTTCCAAACGTATTCTTGTCCCGTGTTTATGCCACTATCTCCATACAGTCCAAACGTGTTTCCCTTACTACAGTCACGGAACATTTAGTTAGTGTCTTGTGTAAACGCAATTTTCCGCATTGTTACGCCCTGCGGTTATGTAGGTAAGTATTTGCATTAGGCCTGCCTTCAGTCATTGGCTCAGCTTAAAAGCGTGGTGCGTAGGCATCCCTTCATGTGTAATGCTGCGTGTGTAGTGCTTTGCTCGCGCGCTACTGCAGTAATTGTGGACTGTGTCCTCAGATCTGTTATGCATGTGCCCCTCTTCATACTCGAGATGTGCTTATCAATCATTGAAAGTGAGCGGTAACCCAGTCCCTGGTCAACCGATGCTAGTTCGTGTTGTGTGAGGTAATGCAGTCTCTGGTTCAGCGATGTTGGTGTTGTGTGCGGTAATGAAGTCTCCAGTGTAACCAATGTTAGTCGTGTGCGGCCTTGCACTCTCCGACCTTGCAGGTGCTAGTGCTGTGTGCGCTGTGCAGTCGTCGGTTCTGTGTGTTACTGTTGTGTGCGGTAATAAAGTCCCCGGTCCAGCTGATGCTGCCGTGTGCGACAGTGCAGTCTCCGATCCGGCCGATGGTAGCGTTGTGTTGAGTGAGACGACAGTCTCCTTTCCAGTTGATGTTAGTGTCGTGTGCGGCAATGCAGTCTCCAGTATAAGCGATGTTAGTGTCGTGTGCGGTACTGAAGTCTCCGGTTCAGCTGATGCTACTAGTGTGGTGAGCGGTAATGCAGTCTCCGTTCCAGTCGATTTAAACATTGCGTGCAATAATAGAGTCCCCGCTCCAGCCGAGGTTCGTGTTTTGTGTGATATTGCAGTCTTCAGGCCAGCTGATTCAACTGTCTTGCATACGGTGACGCAGTCTGATATAACCCATGTAATTGTGTGCGACAGTGCGGTCTCTGGTCCAGCCGATGCTAGTGTTTTGTGCGGTATGGCAGTCTGCCCCACTCGATGTTCGCGTTATATGTATGTGACAGCGCATTATCCGATACGGCCTATGTAGTGTTGGGTGCGACAATGCAGTCTCCAATATTATAGCCGATGTTACTGTTGTGCGCGCCTCTGGTCACACATGCACAAGTTAAGCTGAGCAGAAGAACCAGATCCGGGTCTCAATCACGGCTGCTGTTTGAACAGCGCCTAAAGTTTCGGGGTTGCAACCGGGATCAGTTTGGAATGCTAGCGGCTGGATACCGGTACATTATCTGACTGAAAAACTGCCGATTGTAAACGGGTCTCGAGATCCCGCTTCTTTATATTCGTATCGAGGCACCCACTCTTTCATAGTCCTGTTTAACTTGCAGAGTCGCTGACACTCGGCGTTAGGTGTCCATGTTAGTATGTATGTCAAGCTGGTATTGAAGTGACAGGCCGTGCCGAGGGCTCCATCTCCGCGCTTTGTGATCTCCGAGTTCAGTCTGTGCCGTTTGCCGTCGGTGACTGGCTCGGTCGGTGTCTCGCACCTGCCGCCGACCGACGGCCGGCCCCGGTGCGCCGGTGTCGGTGTCGGCGCGGCCGGGGCGGCGCCGCTGCCGACCCAGTCTCGGCCGGCGCGGGGCGACAGCTGCCTGACGGCTGTGCCCGGATTGGGGCCGCCGCACCCGCCGCGGCTGTCAGGCTGTCTCAGCGGCCGCCCTGCGCTCCTACTGACACACCGTCGGCCGTGCTCGACACACGCCAGCACGGATCAGCGTGCCGTACAGCGGAACTACATGGTATCGGCGCAGCTCAGGCGCTGTTTAGACAGATTTAGGAAATTCAGCGAATAGTACTTAAACGGCAGTGGAAAAAGAATGCCTTTTGTGTTGCTGTGACCTATTGGTATTCACTGACTTTAGGCCAAAATATTCCAACATATTTCTGGACTTCCTTGGAAAGATGTTTTTCCTGTCTAAATGCAGGAA